GGTCAATTAAGAATCAAACGCTGAAATAATAGATCTAAGTCATCACATGATTCAGTATATTTAATTTGATAAATCAAATTCATAATAATAACAATGCGTTAAATCATTCTACGTTTACAGTAAGTGAGAATTGAACAGAACAGTTGAAATGATAAAAGGACATAATAATAATAAAAAGGGAAAGAAAGAAATAAAACTAGTGATTAAAATTAGTTTACGTAGTATGGCTTAATAATTTGAATGCCTTGTATAGAAGGTCTGGCAACTGGCCAAATTTCCAGTAACAAAATATTTTATGCTTTTGAAAACATTTTACATAAACAGGAAATCGAGAATTACATGAAATTGAAAAGAACTGTAAGCGATAATTTTAATTTTAATAACATGAACGCAAACAAAAGATAGACAAAGAGAAAAAAAATATATAAACCATAAAAATATTATAATAATTAAGACTTAAGGTTAAAGAAATGCGCAATAATCACAACGGCTTCGTAATTAAAGACATGTTAAGAATGTTTAAGACGATCTGAAGTGTGTAGTTAAGAGTTACATTCACGCTGTCACTATTTACGGATATTGAAATTTTGGATTGATTACAGATGGATAGAATATGAAGTTACAATGATATGTGACTGTAATGTTTCTGTGTAGGCGTTGTGATTCTTGCTGCTTATAAAACATTCATATAATAATCATACTGATGCGCAGGGTGGAAAATAATAAGTTTTCAGCATTATTGTCAAGCGGAATTCGTAATTAGTTTTTATGTTCTTTGATTTTAATCACCGCATACTAAATAAATTCTATTTGCTTTTTAACTTTTATGATAACTTTATTATTTCAAATTATGCGACTGGATGAAGAGAAAGATCTCCGTAATTTCTCAGATGTAAACGATTCAAAGTAATTTACGATTGATTCTTCTTTGTGTAATCTAACCTTTTAGAAGGAAAGGAAAAGAAAAGACGCTACGTTAGCTATTGGTTATCAGTTATATCGAGGCTGTGAACAGTTACCGTGATGTTGACGATTGCTGAATTTTTACCGTGACTGACGAGGTGGCTGAAGTTCACCCGTCTGCTCGCCTCGCCTGTTTGCTTTCTGCTTATAGCAGTTGTAAAAGGAGATCTCTCCTCGTCCGAGCACAGGATTCGTGGGTAGTCAATAGGATTTTGATTGCGGCAGCTCCGGATTGAATCGGCTTATTACACTAATTTTAAGAACGATGCACGCTTCACGAGACTTATTTATATTTGTTTCATATTCTTCTAAACTTAATGAAAATATTAAAAATTGTTATCGTACGCTTCGCGACGTCAAGAAATATTTATGAAGTTTGTGAATCCGGAAGTGACCGTTTCATCTGCGAGTCAAGGGACGACTGACTTCTTTGTGACTGCTAGAGATGCACACAGCATACTTGCGTTATCAGCTTAACGCTGAGGTGGGACCCTATAGTTACGCGCGAGACGATGTGAGGTAGGAGGAAAGGGGGAATCGCGCGAGACGCTCGTCCTACAGAGCCGAGTAGTACACAATGGTCGCGAAATATTTCTTATGTGTGTCACTACCACATTCGGTGTTATCTGGGTGCAATCACTAGGTTCAACTAACTTTCTGTTTTTAGTAGGCTATTACTATTGTACATTAAAAATCTGAGCGCTGGTCGCTTCGCAGGAAACTTAATTAATCTATCTTAATTCTAACGCATGGTCTTATTCTAAGCAGATAAGCGCGTGAGATAGCGGGCGGTGACCAAATTCAGCCAATTGCTGATTATAGCACTACATTTGAATATGCTTTTACAATCGCGCTTTTTACTGGGACAAAAATTTTGTAATTGACGGTTCGAACGGCTGCGGCTGCTGACGCAGTTTCTCGCAGGTATCAAAATTATCAGCTCGAGCGAGCGTGAGAGCGTCCGGTCTACAGTCCGTTATCTCGATATGCGCGCTGCATCAACATTTCGTTACTTAATAAACTCGCCAACAAAGAGCTACGACTATGTTTAAAAAATTAGAATTATGTCTTATTTTTACGCATAGAATATAGAAAAAGGAAAAAGAGAACATACATCAGCGGCTAGTCGCACAGCGTAGCGAGACAAGGCGACACGCGAAATTTACGCGGTCGTCACAATATATACATATATATACACATAGTTGTACTATTTATTTTTACATAGAAAGAATAACTTATGTACATATATGTTTCCAATGATCAAATTTTAAAGGAATTGTACAACTAATACTTGTACAACTAAAACAAAGAAAACTTGTTAAAATCCTTAATCATTTCTATTAAAAATTAGAATAATATACATTTTTATTCCGTCTAGCTTCTTTTGAATCAGCAAGAAAGCATGCAGCGGATGCAAAATATATAACAACCGATGAGGAACAGTTAGGACGTGGACGAAGAGAACATGTACCATGTAGTCGTTTCACCAGCGATAAAGAAGAGCTTGAAAACAAACCTCGAAAAGTATATACGAAAAGTACGTACATGGTGTATGTGTGTGTGTGTGTTTTGTTTACTGTATATTAGGGATAATTCTATAATGTGTTTTTTGTTTCCTGTTTCTTGCTATGTCTCTTGCCTTCTTGAACAAAAATGAAAAAGACAAATAGAGACAAACAGCAAGAAACAAAAAGCACATTGTAAAATTAGCCTAAATGTTCATTGAAAATGTTTTTCTTGTACATAATTTTATTGCGAAAAATGTTATCTCGGCTGGGAATCAAACTTATGATCTCTTGTTAGAACCTTAAATTATTTATACATTTTAACATGTTCTTTCTAATTATAAGATGCCTATGAGCATCCAAATTATTCAATGTTGTAATATTACCACTCCAGTTTCAATTTATCGTTATTTCAAGACCGATAAATAATCGGCGCAGCTTTGAACTGGAAATTGTATAATAAATTTACAGTAAATATCATTATAGACATAAAGAACACTCTTGACCGAATGGTTTTTCACTTTCGTGTGTTTAATTCTCATTTGTCAATTTTAATTTAATATTGTCAATTTAAATTGTTACTAGTACCTAATTGTGTTTTTATTTTACATATAATGTAATTAAAATATCTGTATTGGTTCTTGCAGAAAAACCTCTTAGCACTATTGTTAGTAAACCGCCACTATGTCTTGATAATTTTGGATTAAACAAGAAAAAGGTAAACGATGAACTATGTCCTGATAATTTTGGATTAAACAAGAAAAAAGTAAACGATGAATATTATGAAGTCGCAATATCGCAGCAAGGTATTTTACCAATATAATATGCATTTTGTGTATGTGTGTGTGTGTGTGTGTGTGTGTGTGTGTGTGTGTGTGTGTTCGCGTTCACAATTATGTATTATATATTAAATATATAATTTTTATTATTCATGTTTTATAATTTTTTGCAGAAAAGCGATTTGATATTGTTTCTAAACAATCATGTGTTTTAGATTTGGAGTTATGTAACGTACAAGCGAACAATGAAGCCACGACGTCACAAGGTATCTTGTTAATATAATACGAGTATATACATTTTGTGTGCTAGTTGCATGATATGACTAAATCATCGATCATTTACATCTCTTGTTTATATAATTTATACTAGAAATAATGTATTATTAATTGGAAAAGTAATATATTAATTTAAATCGTTCTAGAAAAAGACGATACACTTTTCAATGAAGATAAATGGGAAGATATACCCATACTACAAGGTACATACATTAAAAACAAGAAAGATTAATTGAAGTATATACTCGTATGTAGGAGTGTAATGACTCGATACATGTCTGAATTCTCTCATGAACAGATAGAGCGAACTAAACTGACAATGAGTCGAAATACCATCTATCATTTTGCAATTTTCAAAATAACCCAGCTAGCAAGGTCACGTGATAATGACGTGAATTTTTGGTACAAATAACGTCAATTATGACATAAAAGTAACGTTATTCTGACGTATATATCACGTGATTATGTCACATCTTATTGACGTTACTTTATTACGTCAGGGAGACGTAAATATGACTAAAAAGTACTATTAGTGTCACTACTAGTGCAATAATGCAGTAGTAAATTCGTATATGCTTCGTGTAGAAATTGAAGTAAAATACCGGTCAGTTTTTCCTAATTATTGAAAAAAAAATTTTCTCTAAATTCGAGAATTAATTTTTTTTCATGATGCATCCCAAACGGTCACCCATCCGAAGTTGTACCACGACCTCGCATGCTTAACCTTGACAATCGTACGGGAACTGCTGTACTTCGATGACCCACGAATCTGTATGTCAATGTCTGTATAATTGTGATATATCTGTTCAATGGAAATATTGAAA